AGTTTGGGGTTTTTAGTGGTCAAAATATTAGTTTGAAGTAAATTTATCATAGATATATTAGTTTGAGGTTTTTTATTGTCAAAAAAATAATTTGAAGTAAAATTATCATAAATATACTAATTTGAGATTTTTCATAGTATTAAATAGTAATTCAAATTTTGTTTCATTTGATAGGCCGTTGGATTTGTGCCAAAAGTTGATTAGACACCTAGCCAAAGAAAATTACTCTCTCTCTCTCTCTCTCCCCAATGACTTCTATCTATGGTCATCCCGTCTCTCTCATGGCAACTGTTGTTGATGAAGACGAGACAGTGACGTCGACGAGCCAAAATCTGAGGTTCAAAACCTAAGCCTAATATATATCTTGTCTTGACCTCTACTTGAGGTCGTTGGCAGCTACCAATCTCATGCCGATGGGTTTTAGTTACATGGAGAGAGAGAGAGAGAGAGAGAGAGAGAGAGAGGCGGCTCAGTATCGAGTCTAGCTCTGAGGTTGCCCAAGGACATTGGGAACGAGTGGAGTTGGATGTGTGGGCAAGCCAAAGGTGAGAGTGGAAGGCACGAGAGAGAAAAGAGGGAAGGAGTTGGTTAATATTGGAACGTACAGTAAAAGCTTGATACCTTCATTTGGAGAGATTGAAGAGATCGACCAAGGAAGAGATCAAATTTGTTGATCCATCTTTTGCAGTAGTTTTTTTTTTTTTTTTTTGTAGTGCTTGGTCACATGTGGCTCAAATCTAGTGGTCGATAGAGTGGTGACAGAATGTGGGAACAGCTCTTGGAAAACAACCACCCTTCTCCCGTGAGAAATCTGGCATCCATCCACATAAAGCGAAGTAGAGCGCTATACCAATTAAGAATTGTGATTACAGAAAAAAAAAAGTGATATTTTGTTCATTATCAAATGAATAGTACATGAGCCTATTTATAGGTATTACCAGATGACTATTTAAAGTAGTAAAATATCAATTATAATCAATCATAACCAATCAAGGAAAATATACAGAGTCAAGAGGAGTTTCATCTTTGGTATTAAATTTGGCATTGGTCTCAATAGGAATTGTAGCGACCTCGTTGTCAGTGAGTTCAACTCGAGTGACAAGATTAGTGGTATACTTTTTTGTGGGGAGAAGAACACTAGAAGTGCCAAAACTTGTGTACGGCGCTCACTTTAGTGCCAAAAGTTTGTTTCGGATCACTTAAGTGCCAAAATCGGAGAAAAACGATCACTTAAGTGCCAATAGCGAGAAATTCCGGTCAAATTAATACGTGGCTTTTTTAATTAAAATTTTAACTTACGTGGCATTTTCACGTGTAAATTTCGAATTTTTAATTGTTTTTTTTATTTTTTTTTCTCTGTTTTTTCCTTCTTTTCTTTTTTTTTTTTTCTTCTTCTTCTTCATTTGGCCGGTGACCGGACACTGGCCACCGGCCATGGCCGGCCGCCTGGCCTCGCCGGGGGTCTCCGTGGCCTGGGCGACCGCCAGCGAGGCCGCCGTAGCCTGGGCTAGGGCCGGCCCTCGCCAGATCCGGGCGGGGCCGGCCCTCGCCCAGGCCACGGCGGCCTCACCTCGCCCATGGCGGCCTCATCTCGCCCATGGCGGGCGACGGCGGCCTCGTTCGGGCGAGGCCAGGCGGCCGGCCATGGCTGGTGGCCAGTGTCCAGTCACCGGCCAAACGAAGAAGAAGAAGAAGAAAGAAAAGAAAAAAAGAAAAAAAGGAAAAAGGGAAAAACAGAAAAAAAAATCATAAAAAAATTTAAAATATTAAAATATTATTAAATATTGTCCTCGTCAGCGCCGACATGCCACGTAGGACTGAGAAATTAATAAAATATGGCCACGTCAGATTTCCGGCGACCCAAATCGGAGTTGGCACTTAAGTGATCGTTTTTTCAAAAAAGTGGCACTTAAGTGATCCGAAACAAACTTTTGGTACTAAAGTGAGCGCCGTACACAAGTTTTGGCACTTCTAGTGTTCTTCTCCCCTTTTTTGTGAAATATAAATTTGAATGAACCTGAAAGCCTAAAAAGTAACTGAGTCGCCCAAGATCTTTTATTTCAAACTATTGACTGAGATATTGCTTGAGTTTGAAGATGCCAATGTGATCATCGCCAGCGATAACCAAGTCATCCGCATACAAAAGCAGCATTATATACCCACGAAATATGCACCAAACAAAAAGAGCATGGTCATAAGTACTAAATTTGAAGTCAAGAGATTCTATGGTGGAGCTAAACTTGAAATACCATGCACGATGAGCCTGTTTCAAGCCAAATAATGCTCTACAAAATTGACACACTTTGTTGGAAGGATGAGTGTATCCAAGAGGATACACCATATAAACTTCCTTGATAAGATCACCATTCAGGAATGTATTTTTAACATCCATATGAAACAAAGACTAGCGCTTAACTACGGCAATAGTAAGAAGACTACGGATAGAAGTAAAGCATGCACTAGGAACAAAAATTTCTTCATAGTCAACTCTGTACTCTTGAATAAAACCTTTTACCACTAGCCAAGCTTTATAACTGTCCACAATATCATCTGCCTCTATTTAATGTCATATACCCATTTACGACCTACATTGAACTTACAAGGAGGCAATTCAACCAAATCCCATGTATGACATTTGTCTAAGGCTTGCAATTCATCCGCCAGTGTTTGCTGGCAAAGAGGATTATTAATAGCTTCTCAATATCTACGAGGTTATGAAAGAGAAGCAATGATATAATACCAATGGTAATTTTGAATTTGAATATAAGGTTGACTTACTCTGGTGGAGCGACAAATAGAGGATGAAGGAACGTTGGCTAGTGGAGAATTTGCGGATGGAGCAGACATGTTGGAAGCTGCCGAGGTGGTATTGCCAGATTAACTTGCATCAAGATTAGAAGAAGAAGAAGAAGGTAATTTTGGAGAGGAAGATTCATAAGTGGACAGAGGTGTGGGTTTTCTGGGAATAAATTCACTAAAGTGTTTGGTGAAGAAGGGAACATGAGTCGATGATTGAAGGAATGACGAGATGAGAATATCTTGTGTTCCCAAAAGGTAACACGATGAGACACATGAAGAAGGTTGGAGCTAGGATCCCGATATTTGTATTCTTTGTGCTCAATGTCATACCCAAGGAAGCATCATAATGAGCACGAGGTTCCAACGTCGTGTGTTAATATGAGAGAAGATGTACAAAACAAGCACTGCCAAAAACTCGGAGAAGACTGTAATTGGGGACATTACCATAAAAGCGCTCATAACCAGAAATGTTACTTATGATAGGTGACGGAGTACGGTTGATAGTGTATGTAGCAGTAAGACAAGCCTCTCTCCAAAACTGTTTCGGACATGAAGCAGAGACCAAAGAGTGCGTGTATTATCTTTTTTTTTTTGGTCGAAGCATGTTATATCTAAAATATGCCTATGTTTACTTTCGGCTTGACCAAGCAGTTAGAAGGTTCCTGGACAAGAATGATGAACAATAGTACCATTTTAGAAGAGAATTCCAAGTCGGTGTCCCTATATTTAATGGCATTATCAATATGAAAAACCTTAATATCTTGAAAAATTATGTTTTTTATCATGGCAACAAAATCACGAAAGATACTAGTAAATACATATCTATTTTTCATAAGATAAAATCATGTATAACAAGAATGATCATCTATAAAGATTACAAAATAACAAGATCCTTCCATGGTAGGGGTTGAACGCGGTCCGAATGAGATTGTAAGGAGCATGAGAAATAGATTCACTAAGATCAAATGGCATGACATGGTGTTTTCCCAACTGACAATGAAGACAATCAAGATGTTTATTATCGTCAGAACCTAAATGACCAATTAATATAAAAAAATCTTAATCTAGAGGAAGAAGTGTGACCTAACCAAGAATACCAAGTTTCAAATGACATTGTGGCAGCACAACCAGCAAACATCACAGAGGTGTCTCACTCTACGGACTGTACCAATAGTCTGTCCCACTCGTGGATCCTACCCATGGCAACCGCGAGAAGAGAAATAAACATCAAAGCCAAGTTCACACAATTGTCCTATTGAAATTAAATTAAAGGAGAGTTTGGGAACTATAGAAGTGTTAGGTAATAATAATGTAGATAAGGAACTGTTTCCTGTATGGCTGACTCTCATTTAGGAATTAATAGCTATGTGAATAGTAGAGGACTGTGAAGTGAATGATTTCGATTGAAACAAATTAGAATTTGAAGTGATGTAATTGCAACAGGTAGAGTAAAAAAAACCATGAATCGGAATTACCTAAAGTGAGAGACATATGCATTTTACAGTCTTAAACACAATAGATTGGACAACAGATGTGAAGCAACTAGTACCTGGAGAGCATATATGGTGAAAATAATGCCAAAATGGATTCAGCACGACAAAATACCTTAGGAACCAGTTGGAAAGCACCAAGAATAGGCCAAAAATATGTTGAACTGCTCTGATAATATCTTGAAACCGGTCAACGGTCGATCAATGCATGGTCATAGGGACTAGAATTGAAGCAAAGAGATTCCATGGTGAGCTAAACTTAAGAATTGTGATAACAAAAAAAATGTAATATTTCGTTCATTACTAAAAAAAGAGTACATAAATCTATTTATAGACTTTCCTACGTGTTCATTTAAAGTAGCAAAATATCAACTATAATCAATCATGACCAATCAAGGGAAATATACAGAATTCCCAACTATCTCCTAAATATATATCTCTAGAAAAGAGATATTGGTCGGTGTCATTAGGCTGGCAGCACGCGGTGGTTTCATTGCAATGACGACCCCCATTAAAGAAAAGAGGAAAATACAACCGAGAAAACCGTACCATATTCCTGTGCGGAGATGTTAGGACGACAAGTTTTTCTTCAACACAAGCGCGTGGAAATTTCCAAGCAAAATCCAGAAGTGTCACTCTCTCTCATATTTCACTACTAGCGAAGCTCTCTCTCTCTCTCTCTCTCTCTCTCTCTCTCTCTCTCTCTCTCTCTCAATCCTTCAAAGAGAAGTCGATCTCTTCGCTTATTTATATGTGACGAGCTCAGCACGTTCTGGTATATAACTGCAAACAAAAGCAAAAACAGATACAGAAGCCGAAAGCAAGTTGTTTTGAGAGAGAGAGAGATGGCGGATCTGCCACCAGGGTTTCGGTTCTTCCCCACCGAAGAAGAGTTGGTTTCGTTCTATTTACGAAGCAAGCTCGAGGGAACAAGACAGGCTCTACTCGGGCTTTTTCACCGGGTCATACCTGTTCTTGATATCTACGAGTTCAATCCGTCGGACCTTCCACGTACATCGCAATCCTTGCTGCTGCTCTTATTCTTCTCCTTCTGCTTCTTCTTGATGATCACCTCTTGCTTTCATGTTGCAAAGCCTTTTCCACTTGAAAGATGTGCCTGCAGAGATAGTAGATAAAGCATTGTGATTTCTAATTTAATTAACCTCGGAACTATCGTTCTCGATCCAGTTTTTTATTTTTATTTTTTCATGCGGATGGACTAGGCATTTCTAAATGTATTTGCTGTTTGCCCTTTCAACTTTGGTGAAACAATGGTCTAAGATGCTTCTCTTTTAAGATTTCTTGCATTCCTCCAAGTCATAAAATGGATTCTCCTCCGAAATGCAGTCTCCTATTAAGTCCTACGAGTGTGAACATAGTACGAGAGACAATATAGGATGGGCTTCACTTTTTCTGCCCTTGTCTTAAAAGAAAAGAACCAACGAGAATTTGGAGAATTTCACAGGGAAGTTGTGCCTGTTAGGCCCTAATTTTGGATATATATGTAAAAATTTTCTTCTAAATAAGTTTAATGCGGTGGGCTTCAACTTTTTTACAGCATTCAGGTTGTTGGTTAATTAATGAAGAGAAATTCACTACGCTTTTGTTTTAGCATGTATCAGTTGGGGGAGTCATTCCATAATTCATGGTTTTATTTTCCCAAGCAGTGTTCATATGCATCCTCAATATGTATGCACGGTCTATAATCTCAAGAACAAGTTTGAACACATACCCATGTGTTAGAACTGTTTAAAAAACAATTACAATTCCACCAAAAAAGATGAAAGATCATTGATCCATACTCTATTCTATTATGTAACAAAATTCTTTTGGATCCAGAATTGGCGGGAGATCTATGCCGCGGAGATCCAGAGCAATGGTTCTTTTTCATCCCGAGGCAAGAGACTGAGTACCGCGGCGGGAGGCCGAGGCGGCTCACGACCACTGGGTATTGGAAAGCTACGGGCTCTCCTGGTTTCGTCTACTCGAGCAATCGCATTGTGGGAGTGAAAAGAACTATGGTGTTCTATACAGGACGGGCACCGAACGGCGTGAAAACTGAATGGAAGATGAATGAGTACAACGCCATTGAAGGGGCGGATTCTTCTCCTGAAGAGATCCCAGTGGTGGTATGTGATGCCCTAATCCAATGTTTATCGAAAAAACTGTCTGATAATCTATGTCACAAACATATGGAAGAATTTAAAATCATTTCAAATGTTTCATGTGTGATCTTATTCTGGACATATCTCGTTCGTCTTTATCTTCACATGTTCTTTTATCGCATTGAGTTTCCAATCTAATGCTCAACTAGTCACTTTTATAGACAAATAGATCTACACCAATTCTTGAACCTCAAAAAATAAAATGTAATAGACCACAGCAGAATGAATGGATATCTCTTTCGATTTCTTCTTGTTGTCGGAACACGCACGAGTCGAACAACGACACATGACTAATGTCTCTCATTTGTGTCTATAATTGCAGCCAACGCATGAATTCAGTGCGTGCCGGGTGTACAAGAAAACGAAGACCTTGAGGTCATTCGATCGGAGACCGATGGGAGAAATCATTAGAAGCAGGCACGCATTTCTACCGAACACCATGCCAGATGATGATCGACGTCCTCAGGAAATGACATCATCTCATTGGAGCAGTCCTCCATTCACGGAGAGAGCAAGCTCATCGCCAGACAGTTCAGGCGCCTCCGGAGACCATGGGACAATTCCTTCGCAAGCTGGAGGACTAGGAAGCAGTACTGACATGGAGATGCTGCCCGGGGATAGCGAATTGTTCTTGCAGGATTGGGAACAGCTCTGGTCCTAACCAAGAAGACAAATTCAATAGCTATAAACAAACAATAGCAGATTCATGTTGTCATGGTTAATGGTGTAACTCTTAATCGCCTCGGTGGTGCTAAGCAGATGTGTAGTTTTTTCGAATATTAATGTCTGTTCAAAGTGGGCTTGTATCCTAAATTTGACCATGGATGTAGAACTGATATAGAATGTCCAATCGATGTATTTTTCGTGCACCATATTCATTTCCGTGATTATTTCCATGCAAAACTCTCATGAATCAAAGGAGTCTGCGCGTGCGTGCTTGTTATGTGAAAATTGGTCCATGTAATTTATTAAACATGTGTAATAAACCCTAGAGCTCCCAAATGATTTCCTGGGGATTTGATTTGCTTCTAATCTTTTTCTTTTTTTGATTTAATTATTTCCGACTCCAATAGATATCAACAAAAACTTTACGATCTTGGTTTTGGTACGTTGATTAAGGGGGAAATTACCAAACATAAATCTATTGTATTGGTACCAATTCAGTCCTAAATGTTTCAATTGGACCTATTGAGTCCTAAACCGTTTGTATTTTTGCCAAATGAGTCCAGTCGGCCAATTTTGGCTCGAAATCACTGACATTGACGCCAGCCATTCTATGTGGCACTACCGGTACTAACATAGACAAATTTTACATTTTTTTTTTATTTTTTCTGATTTTTTATCACTCTTGTTTTCTTTTCCTTTTTCATTGTGGCCAGTGAGATTTTAAGAGCCCTCGCTAATTTTAGGGAAGGGTCACCAAGCCCTCACCCGGCCGCGAGGGTCAGTCCTTGCCTTGGTGAGGGTTGCCCTTGCCGAATCTAGCGAGGGCTCAACTCTCGCAACCTGGGCGAGGGCCGCCCTCACCAGATGTGAGGGCTGAGACCGTTGCCGGCCACAATGAACAAAAATTGTTCTCATTAGTGCCGGTCGTACCACACAGAATGCTTCATGTCTATGTTAGCAATTTCCTGCCAAAATTAGTTGAATGGATTTGATTGGCACAAATGCAAAATATTAGGACTAAATTGGTCAAATTGAAATGTTTATGACTGAATTAATTGAAAGTGTCATAAAAAATAAGGAGGTAGGGAATGTTTCCTTGCAATTGCCGTGAGGTCGGCTATCATCGCGGTGGTTGCCTGCAGAGGGTAGCCACCCTTATGGTGTATTACTTATCCATGGTGACCATCGTAATGGTGGTCCTAATAGCCAACACGATATTCGACTACCCACAAAACCAAAACACAAGGTAAACACAGCAGGGTTGAGAGATGTTGGGGGGCTCAAATCCTGGGTGACTGTAGGCGCGGTGGTCGCACCCTTGTGCAACCCCGTTCCCGTTGTTGGTGTTACCTAGGGCAGAAGAAGTTATGCCTCTTTCTTGCTTCTAAGACCAAATCTTCGAAATTAAAGTATAGGGACTAAACTGTAATATAACCAAAGATAATAAGGATTAGATGTGCAACTTAACTATGCAAACAAAAGGGAGACGAGATAACATAATAAGGATTAGTTCTAGTGCATGCCAATTCAGGCTAAATAGTGCCTAATAATAACATGTATTATCGATACATATATACCCATATGTTACCAAAACAATAGGTGAGTACCCATTATTTAAAGGTAGTGAAGTTGTTGAAGTGCTTCTGATAAATCTTTACCCTATTGCTACATCACATGATATGGGAAGACGGTTCTCGAAAAAATTGAGAAAGAGTGAGAACACTAACTCGATAGCAAAGACTTTCCACGAAAATTTCGTCTCGCCGGTCAAAAAATTCAACCTCCCGTCCCGTCTAAGAATAATTTAATAGTACAGAATTCACAGTAATCATTTATGAAATCTAATAAAATAAGCCTATATTAACAAAGATAGCTTTAGCAGATTACCCCCAAGTTTCATTAATATGAAAAGGTCGACCAATGATTAGACAGGTTAAGCTATTATCCCGATATTATGTTTGTTGCCGACACCACCATTGGACCTACTTCTTAAGGAAAAAATTAAGTCAATTCAACGAATGAGCTTTTACCTGGTCCTCTCCATTCGTACCCTTGAATTATAAAGAACGAATGTATTTATATTTTCACTTATGAAATTCTTAAATCAATTTTCGCTTTGAAATTATATGAAGAACGAAAATTAAAGACATGAGCCTTTCAATCACGTGTTGTGATCCTTTTAATTTGCGGATAAACAACCATTTTAAATTAATTCTCTCTAAAAGTAGTTTTTACCTAGTCCCCGACGTTCAAGATCAGGTCTCCGACGCCCGGGCCCGAGTCCATCAAGGTCGTGCCCGAGCCCCCAGTGCCCACGTCCGAGTCCATCTAGGCCGAGCCTAAGCCCTAGTGCTCATGCCCGATGACCCGGCTCTCCGGTGCAAACAGGTCGTGCTCGCGAAAAAAAAAAAAAAAATTTCACCGTGATAGCCCTATTCAACTGCTACAAACTTTTGATCTCTTCGTCGTTGCGCAACCCAAGAGCGACAGACTTTTAATTTTGTTGTCGTGATCAATGCAAGGGCAACGAAATAATTCGTCAATTTAGGTTTCTTCCAACGTGCTTTGAACTGATGTCGCGCCACTACAAGGTGGATCAATGGCGACGAAATTGGTCCTTCGTCACCATAAGCCAAGCTATGGCAACGAATTCCATTGCCGTCATGGTGGGGTATCAATGGCAACGGAACTATTTGGCGTTGCCAAAAAATTTCTTCACCATAGCCCGATTTCTTATAGTGTTGAAACGCGCGCACAAACAAATAGGGCCACCTTACTTATGAATGCTATTTTTTCACACAAGCATCTTTGATTGCATAACAATAATAGAATAAGGATCAATCATAAAACTCCAGCCCGTGTATCATGCGAAAATTCATGTAACATTGTAGTTAAATCTATATGGGTGTCAAGCAAATCGATAGAGCTCGTGCCCAATGTTTTTTTTCAAATGTGCGGGTGGGCCTAATGAGAAATCAAAATCGAAATCTGTTGCGCACTCTTTCGGCTTTAACAACCAAATCATAATTAATTTAAAACAGCTTGACCGTAGTCATGACATCGCTAGACAAAGTCTTGAGCTCAAGTCGTCCTTGTAATTCTTCGCACGGTCCGACCATGATTTCTAGAAATTTAGAGCATTCACACCTTTGCAAACTAACTTTCTTGGTACCCTTGCTTCTTGTTTTCTTTCGTTTTCTTGTCCCCCCGCACTTCCCATCTTATGGAAGGTCGCATGGAAACCCACGTAACCGCGTCGGCTCTCTCTCTCGAACTTGACTTTGTCCCACTCGGTCACTAGAACCAATCCTGAATTTTTCTTCACTAATTTAAACCTAAAGATGCTCGAGAAAAAGGGGAAGTCAAGGCAAGTCAACTCGAGATCTTGACCCCATTCTCTCCATGATTAGATCATGGTGCAATTTCGAGCAGATTTCACGCGCTAATGGACGAGAAAAGAGCATATCACGTTGTTTCACGGACTGCACCAAAAGTTTAAAAGAGATTCTGTGAGGGAGAGAGAGAGAGAGAGAGACTATTACGGTACGAATTAAGTCAAGTCCTCGTGAGAGACATATAAACTTTAACTTATATGCATAGTTAAATTGGGTGAGACTATTCTCATTTAGTGATCTTGCGCTTTGGTACTTTGGGAGTAGGCAATTTTTTTCGGTGAAATCAGTTAAGGAAAGAGAAGCAATCCTAAAATATTGGGAATAATTACCTAATCCGTTCTAAACCTATGGTACATATGTCAATTCAGTGCTCAATTTTTCAATTTTGCCAAATGTAGTCCTAAACCTTTTTTACGAAATGCCAACGTAGCCCTTTTGGCTTATTGCTGCTGGAAATTGCTGATGTGACGTCTAGTCCTCGTCGGCTGTCCTATATGGCATGTTGACGTAGACAACTTGTGGATTGCCACGTTAGTGATTTCCGGCAATAATTGGTTGAAAGAACTATATTGGACTTTCTTGTAAAATTTTAGGACTACATTAATAAAATTGAAAAGTTTATAATTGAATTAGTAGTCATAAAATAGGTTTAGGACTGATTGGGTAATTTTTCCAAAATATAAAGACTGATCTCGTGAATGATCTTTGGGCATCGCCCGCCACCCCATATGAATGGAGTCTAATCTATGGACGTAAATGAGATGGTTTGTGTACATCAGTGGGCATTAATCGGGTCAGAGAGTTTAGAAACATGTGTCATAAGAAAAACAAATAAGGTAAATATACGAAGAGTGATTTGCAAACTTCTGCTTTGTGACTTTTCAAATTAGACAAAATCATTTTTGGTGGCTTTTGCCCTTTTTCTTTCTGTAACGCCTCTACCACAATTTTAAATCTCCTGTTGATCCAAAAACTCCCAAAGAAATAATCACAACTCTTAGCAACCCAATCCACCTTCTACCATCATCGTTTCCTTCCGAGACTGCTAGGCCACTCGCCATCGCAAGAGGACTCTGTCTTGCTGCGTTTTTGGTGGGTTGACAACGGTGGTGGCCATGGCAAAGTGACTTCTGACGGCAACCGGCGGTGGTGAGAGGAGGTTAGGGTTTGGGATAGGATTTTTGGGCTTAGGGTTTCTTGGGTGCCTTTACGGATGAATGGTAATTTAGGGTTTGTCCAAAGTGATTTTTACTTTTCCCATTTGTCTTTAAATTTTCAAATCTTGCACGACACTCAATTGACTTTTTCTACTCTTTTAATCTAGATGACCCAAAAATTTCACAATTAGATAAATATTCACACATAGATCTAAGTATAATTTTGTTTAAGAATTTGAATAATAATTGAGATTTCAGTGGGAAAGCAAACAAGTCACTTTTGACATTTCATTAAGTCGCAACAAACAAATCCTTGAAAAGTCATTTTGCTCACGCAAATTCTCCTAAATTGCAAAATGATAATCTTAAAAATTGAGGAGACAAATTAAAGTGAAGTGGGTGCATTATGTAAGGAGAATCTTCGGTGTTTTCACTATGTCTAGTTTGCCGTTTGTTTTGTGGTAAAAGGTTTATTTAGAACTTCTGTATTATTTCGCAATAAGAGCTCTCAACTATATGGTTGGCTTTAATTTTATGCTAAAGATATATTTCTTTGATAAACGAGATTAAAAAAGTATAAGATATGGTGAAACTGGGAAATATAGTGAACAATTTTCAAAGTGATTTCAAAGAGTCAGAAGGTAGGGTGAAGTT